ACGCACTCAGGGAATGCCACCCCTCATTGCAAAGCCAGATGGGAGCAACAGACCTCCCGGGGCTGCCCCACGCCCCCACCCAGATCCAAGCACAGCACAGCCCTGTTCTGTCTTAGGCACTTGGTGGAAACCTCTAGTACATTGCCCTGGTGAGAGGGAGTTTGGGGAGGTTATCTAAATACACCCTCTTCAGAATAAGCAGATTTCTACTTTCCATGATTGCAAAAGTTCTCTTAGGCAAGGGACTGCTTTGAAAATTGACCAGTTGGCACTCATCGAATAGGCAGCCTCTGAAGGGAGGATAGTTTCAGGATCTGCCAGATGTCAGTTCCGAGCCTAGATTCACTTTTGTCAGCTGAATGACCTTGGACAAGGTATTTACTCTTGGTATTGATTCCCTTATCAAGAAAATGGGGATAATGAGCAGCCCTCCCAAGGTGTCCTGGCGTTGAGTGGCTCTGGGAATCTAAGTGCAGGCCCATAGCAAGCTCAAAGCCTGCAGCTACAGTCACCACCACCTCTGTCCTCGTAGCCCTCATGGGAAACAGTGGTACCACGGGACTATCGGTTGTGCTGTGGGGTGCTTCAACTCGCACACACCTGTCATCCTTCCAGGCTGTACATTCAGTTGCGGACTCGACCTCTCACATGGGTCTCAGTCTCTCAGCAAGCCATGGGCCCTGCCTCTTCACCCCACAGATGAGTGGGAGCAATGTGAGTGATAGCACTTTGGGTGCATGAGACTGTTTTCCCACATGATAAAGCGTCAAGTCTTCCCCACAGAGGGGGAAGGGACACCAACATGCAGATCACAATCAGTGAAAAGCAGTTTGTCCTTTAACTTGAATATCAGGAAAAAAAAAGTGAGTTTCATTTCCTTAAAGCAACCCCAATCCACCACTCTTTTGCTGTAAAAGTTATCTTTATGAGATACAAAAGCTTTGGGAATAGCATATTCTTCTGAGACATGGTATTATCCAATTAGAACATCTCAGGGCTATATCTCGTTTCATTTTGTTTAATTTGATAACCAGTTTTTTTTTTTTTCTTTTTTGAGACAGTCTCACTGTTGCCCAGGTGGAGTGCATTGGCACCATCTTAGCTCACTGCAACCTCTGCCTCCTGGGTTCAAGTGATTCTCCTGTCTCAGTCTCCCAAGTAGCTGGGATTACAGGCATGCGCCACCATGCCCAGCTAATTTTTGTGTTTTTAGTAGAGACGGGGTTTCACCCTGTTGTTGAGGCTGGTCTCAAACTCCTGGCCTCAAGTGATCCACCCTCCTCGGCCTCCCAAAGTGCTGGGATTACAGGTGTGAGCCACCGTACCCAGACAGTTTTATTAATATATAGATTATGTAAGAAATCAAAAACCCATTTCTTAATCAATACCTGTTATGAGTCTGCTGAGATTATTAACCCAAACAGGTCATAAACTTCTTGTCAAACCTTAGCCTGGGATTTTGTTTTGCTTGAGTCTGTTTAACTGGCTGGATTTGTCTCTACTTGATCTACTAGGACCTGGATCAACATCGAAGGCCAAGGGATTTCAGTGCCCTCATAAGAGACTTTGCGCTTTTTTTCTCTCCCCCTTTACTAAAAGTATTATCTTCCATTTCTGCAGGCAGTGGGGCCTCTTTCCAGGTAAGCAGCTCATCCTGGCTCTGCCAGTCCCGGGTTTTGAAACCTGCCTCTTTGCAGAGCTGTTTGAGAGCTTCTGAAGAATGCTTGCTTTTATCTCAAGACTCAGAGGCAAGCATTAGCTGGAACATCTGTCTGAGACTGTTCCCCACAAAGATACTGTCACACAGATAGGTCAACTGCTATCTTCTCAAGGCACTTGCAGACTTGACACGCTTCCCCAGCCCATTCATGGACCTAGTCACTGCTGTTTGTGCTCAGAGCCCTCTCCTCTGGGTGTTTCCTTTCCCTTTTGTCCCCAGCTCTTGCATGAGCCTTACTGAGAAGGACTCTCAGGCTGTACCAATGCTTAGTGGGAAAGTGGGCTGCAGTTAATTGCTAATGTCTGTCCTGAACACGGTATGGCTGACAGCGCCACGTTCTCATCTTTGCTATCCTTAGCCTAAATTTTTTATAAGGTTATTGCCACAGTATTCACAAGATGACTGTCTTCGACATTTCCAACTTTCCTCTTGACCAGAATGCCTCCTGGACTTGGTGAAATGAGGTCTTTTCCTTAATATGCTACCTGTTTGGATAATTTTATTTAGAGTCAGCCTATACATGTTTCTTGTGGTCTTACAGTATTATTTACCCTTTCTGAGTTCTTGGGTGTGATACCCTATGTTGACAGGATGCAGTAATCTGAGATGGCACTCTCTGCAATGCGGTTGTATTTCTCTCTGTCCTGATGCCTCAGTGATAGTTTCAGGCAGCATCAATGGAGTCACCATCTAATTCCCATCATCCTTTGACTCTCAGAGAGAAACTCTTAAATACCAACCATGCCCCAGTTCCCTCCCTCAGACTGCTTCTTCCTCATGTATTCCTAATTTCAATTTTATTTCTCTTTCTCTGGCCAGCCCTGATATTCATTTCCTAATTACAGATTATGAGAATTTTAATGGTGACTAAAGCCTGGCTATTCTTGAAACTGACAAATGTTTATTTCCCATCAAAGGGAAGCCTCTGGGGTAACAGGATTAACTAGTGACTGTTGTTTTCTTCACTGTTTCCTATAGTTTCCAAATTTGTCAGTCAGCATATATTACGTTTATAAGCAGAAAAATAATGTGTTTAAAAAAAAATCTAGACTAGTGGTTTTTGGTCTTTTTTTTTTTTTTTAAGCTGCAGAACTTTGTTCAAATCTCAGAGAGAAATAAATGAAACAGCAGCTGTTCTGGTTGAAGTGAAGCTTGTGTATGTTTGTGTTTGCATTTGTGTGTGTGTTTGTATATGTGGGTTTTTTGTGTGTGTTTGTTTCCGTGTGTGTATTTGTGAATGTGTATGTGTTAGTGTGTTCATGAATGTGTTCATATGTATATGCATGCATATGCATGCTTGCATGTGTGTGTGTGTGTATAGTATACCTCCCTATGTTGCTGGATATTATGACTTCCTCATCCCCAGAAGGGAGCACACATCTGGACTCTCTTTGCCCATCAAATAGGAAATTGTGCCTGGCTCCAGGGCTGGCCTCTGTTATTGCAGTTAATGCCTTTCAACAAAGAGCCTGCGAGGTTTATCAGGCACCATCCGTTGGGAGTCGCTCCGCCGTTTCTGGGCAGGGACATTCCTTTCATCTGTCAGTTAACAGGCGGCACTTTCCCCCTGTATTCTCCAGGGCCTCTGCCTGCTGTGTGGCGGGGGAGGGGAGAGAGAGCATGTCACAGACAGGTCCTTTTTCAGGACAGCCTTTTCAGAACAGATGTGAAGACGTGATTCTCTGAGATGTCCTTGGCAGGGCCTGAATCCTCCCGTTCTCCCATCCTTGTGTTTTGGATGGTCCAGGTCTCTCCCTGTATGAATGTGCTGGAGGCCTCTCCATTTCTGGAAGGACCACACCCGAACTTTCCCCAGGACTGGCTGTTCTGTTAAGGATGGTGTGGAAGAAGAAAAGTACAAGTCACAAACATGCCAGGGACCTATGAGAGGCCAGAGACATTCTTTTCAGTGCTCTCTCTTCCCACTCCCTGTGTGGCCACCAGTTTTGTGGCAAACTGTCTTTGAGCCCAAAGGTTGAGGAGCCAGAATGGAGCCTTTGGCAACAACTAAGAAACATTTCTCTGTGAACTGTTAGCTGCTCTCTGAAATCTTTTGGGGACACAAAATTTGAGGAAAGTCTGTATTTTGTGGTGTACTGGGTGAAAGTCACCACCTTAGCATGTGCACATGCCATAGCAGGGAGGTTAACATGGTTGCTAAGAGCTACAGCTTCAGGGCCAGACTTTGTGGATTTGAAACTACCTACTAGCTATGTAGCCTTGTCTAAGATACTTACACCAAATCTAAGCCTCAGTTCTTCTCTTCTTAAAAGAGAATGGTCCTGGTTCCTAACTCCTGGGACCCTCAGGACTATTAATCCTGAGGATTAACTGAGGCAATGCATGTGGAATGTTTAGTGGAGTGAGAGTGTTGGCTTTATAAGTGTTTGCTGTTCTTGTAATTATGTTTATGGTCTGGCTCACACTGCCTTCCCACCTCTCCATCTCCCTGGGAAGGTCCTCACCAAAGCTCTGAATGCTTAAGAGGGAAGAAATAAAATTTTGCCTATTTTGATAGCTTTGCTTTTTGATGGTGAGAAAATTTGTAGTGGGTGAACATAGCACTGAGATATTGAGGAACCTCCATGAGCCAAGACCAGCGGCCCCCCTGGATAGGTAAAGGATAGAGTTCGTAAACCAGAGAGTCAGTGGTGTCACCTCTGCAGGGATAGCTAGAACTTCTCTAAGTCTAGAAAGAGTTATTTATAAACTAGCCCATGAGGGTGAGCAAGATCTGTTTGTATAACTGTTTTGGCTACCATTTATTGAGGACTGACTTCTTGTAATGCCAGGCCCTACACATACATCTTCTCCTCTGGTCACACAGTCCCTGCAAAGATGCCATTACACTCATTTTTCCAGATCACGAAACCGAGGCTCATAGAAGAAATTGGCCAATGTCCCATAGCTAAAAAGTGAGAGAGCTAGTCCCCAAATCTAGTTCTTTCAGACTCTAAAACCCATCTGTTTTCCATTACCCTGCATTCCCTCTCTCTTACGGTTTCCCTGAAAGTTCTATGAAGCAAAAGTTTTCCACCAATTTAGGCCTTTAGCATATGACTGTGTATTGAAAAAAGCTCCTGCTAAAACATCCCCTATTTTTCCTGCCAGAAAAAGTGTGTTTTCCAGAGGTTCCTGATGTGCAGCCATCCTGGTTCTTGCTCCCAGATGGAGAAAGACCTGACCCAGCCACAGGCTACCTCTTGGTTGGGCCACCGGTGTCCCCACTCACCCCCCGGACACTTGCTCCAGGACAGACTTGAATTCGCCATATTTGCAGGTCAACCACATAAATTGGCCTTTCCTGGAGACTGCCAGAACTTTCTCAAAACTGTAACATCCAGAGGAAGTCACCTCCACCCAGGACCGGCAAGTGGGATGTGAACGGGCCGGCCCTGGACAAAAGACTGAGGCCATTCATCTGCTCTGGAGTTCATCCTCGGGATCTGAGAGGCACAGCCTGGTGAAGACATCTCATCAGCCATCGGCTCCCTTAAGGTGACCTGCGGCCTCCTTTGTGCCCTGGGGGCATTTGGGCTTGTGTAGAGGCTCTCTCTCAGAAGCTCTTTCTGCTATTTTAATGCGGATAGAAAGCTTTACATTCTTTGCTAATAACATCTGGGTTTTAACAGCGTCTTGTTGCCCTCGCCTGTCTCTGGCATCTCTCTTTTTTCCCTCTTCTCCATCTCTAGAGAAGCCACCAGAAAATGGCGTCTTGCTTTTGACTTTCTTTGCGCTGATTATTTTAGAGAACTTAGTGATCTACTCTGCAATGTCTTGTCTCCTAACATTTCAGCTTGTTTCTTAGAGAGCCCATACTTTGCTTTCTACCAGCTCTTTCATCATTTTCATTTTCTTAAATGAAAAATAAGCAAAACGGTATGATTTCTACATTGTCTTGTTCTCCTAAAGGATATTCTTCTTCCGGCCTCTCTTAATCTTTTTTCTCAGCAACTCCCTTGATCTCCTTTATCATCAATTTATTGTCAATAAAAGTGGCTTTAGGAAGCCTCCTGTTATCTGGCAGGGTTCCAGCTTTCTGACACTTTCCTATGGGACCCACTTGTTATGTCATCCCTGTGTCCTTCTGGCACTCCCTCTTAGCTGGGGAGGGTCAGTCCCCAGGGTGAGAGTGGGTTGGGATGGCCCATTCTCAGACCTTTAGGGGTTTATGGTCTTGTACTTCCCCTTCGAAGACTGAGCTTTAGAGACATTTGGATCTAAAGGCAGCCATTTGATGCTGACTCTTTGGGTTTGCAGAGTAGTCATTTGAGGTTTTTAAAATGTATTTTCCTCTGTGCTTTTTGCAATCATCCACTTTTCAGTAATTCAATAATATTTACAGAGGACCTACTTTGTGCCATCCCTGGTCCCTGTTATCCTGGAGCTTGTAGTCTAATGGCAAAGAAAGATGAGTTAATCAAGTAATCACACCAAAACACTTTCAATTCAGCCATGAAACTGTGTAAAGGAGAGGCACATGGGGCTATGAAATCATATAATGCAAAGGACTGGTGTACTCTCAGGTAAGTGGTTCTCAAAGTGTGGTCCCTGGACCGGCATCTCAACGTCTGCTGTGAACTTGTTAGAAACACAGATTCTCAGTCCCTTAATTCCAGGGCTTGGGGAGAAGGTGTCCAGCATTTGCGTTTTAACCTGCCCCCTAGAGACTGTGATGTGTGCTCAAGTCTGAGAACCTCTGCTCCAGGTGATCAAAGAAGGCTTCTCTGAAGACATTAACTTTGGGTTGATGAAGGAAAGTAGGGAATAGGGTAGGGTAGAAGTATTTCAGACAGAGAGAATGGCATGTGTAAAAGCCCTGTGGTCTCACTCCTGTAATCCCAGCACTTTGGGAGGCCGAGGCGGATGGATCACGAGATCAAGAGATCAACACCATCCTGGCCAACACAGTGAAACCCTGTCTCTACTAAAAATACAAAAAAATTAGCTAGATATGCTGGTGCACGCCTGTAGTCCCAGCTACTCAGGAGGCTGAGGCTGGAGAATCACTTGAACCCGGAAGGCAGAAGTTGCAGTGAGCCGAGATCGTGCTACTGCACTCTAGGCTGGTGACACAGCAAGACTCCATCTCAAAAAAAAAAACAAAACAAAACAAAAAAAAGCCCTGTGGTGAGAACAGGGAGCTTTTGAAAACATGAGGGAGTGCCCCAAGCAAGGAGAAGAGTGATACAAGGTGAGTCTGACAGGTCTGGACAGGGGCCAGGATGTGCAGGTCATAGAGGCCTCATCAGGGACTGGGCAGCGGGAAGCTTTTGATGTGCAGTAAACACGGTAGTGACAATATATTATTTGCTTTTATTGAAAGGATAATTCTAGCTACAGTATGGAGAAAGGATGGAAGAAGAACAAGAGTCGAGCACTGAGAGGGCCTCACTAGGGTCTTGGGGAGAATGATGGTAACTTGGACTAGGGTGGCTTCTGAGGAATGGAAAGAAGGGTGCATAATCACAAGATTCCCAGGTAAAATCCACAGGTCTTGGTTATCAATTGGAGGTGTCAGGAAGGACTGTGGTGTTTTGAGTCTACATGCAAGATGGAAGATAATGATGCCAGTTTTAGCAGTGGGAAGAGATCATGAGAAGGTCCTGTTGAGTCCGAGGTACCTCTGAGCCACCCAGGTGCAAATATCAACTAGATAGTGGAAGGTGTGCTGGAGCTCAGAGAAGTCAGGGCTGGAGATACACTAGGTGGCAATTCAAACTGTGGGCTGGGAGGCATTGCCTAAGGAGGAAGAATGTAATGAGAAGAAGGCTAGTAACATTCATTGCAGAATGTCAGCGCCCATGTTTGATGGTCAAGTGGATTGTTTCCTCTAAAATAAGCTTAGAGGAAAGAGCCAAGAGAAGGAGGAAAACTAGAACATAGAAGACCATGGTTTCACAGAGGCCGAGGGAAGAGAGTTTCCAACAGGAAGTGCCCAGCAGGGGTGAATAAGGCAAGAAAAGGTGGAAGAACGCCTGTTACACTCAGCGACCCAAAAGTCATTTGTGACTTTAGCAAAAGATGTTCAATGGAGGGAAGAGAGCAGAAGCTAAAATGAGGTGGATTGACACGAGAATAGCAGGTAAGAGACTGCAGAAAGTGAGCATAGACAGCTCTTTAGAAATGGTTGTGAAGAGGAAGAGAGGGCCCTGTGGATGGGGATGTGGAGTCAGGCACATAGCTCTGGTGTGTCTGATTTTGCAGTGGGAGTGCTCCTAGCATGTTAAAGCCTAAAGACTTCGTTGAAAGGGGGAGGTTGAAGAAAGAGAAATGGGATCATCTAAGGTTACCAAGGGCCAGGATCCTTGACACAGGTAGGAGGATGCAGAGGCTTCGTGGGTCTCGTAGCTCCTGCTCTCGCCTGGACTTTTCTGAACCTCTGGGACCTGCCCACGCCCTGATCGCCTGCCCTGGAATGCCTGCTGTCCCTCCCTTTCTTGGCATCTCTCCTCCCCGCTGTCTCGCCTGCCCACAGTTCCTCTCCTGCAGCCTGCTCTGCTGTTTTCTCAGCTTTGTTCACCCACTGTTAAGTTATTAACTTGTCAGGGTCTAGACTCCCCGCTTCCTTTCCCTCTTTTGAACTCACTGCTGGCTCCCTTCCCATTTGCCGCCTCAGAAAGTCAGCATTTGGAAGGCAGAGGTTACTCTGCAGGTCAGTATTGGCAGGTACACAGGATTACAGTTAATATAATTAGTATAAGATGTGTAAGTTTTCTTAAAGACCATGATACAACTGAAAAATAAACACAACTGTTATCTTGTGGAGGTAAATGGTGAACTTAAAAATAGACTTTATTCAAAGTCGTGTCTCCAAGAAGGTTCATCTGTGAACGTGTTAAGGATCGCTGGACTCTTACACGTTAATTCATGGATTCAATTATGATCAGGAATGATCCTCAGTTTTTAAAGCAAACTCAAAGAACTAGATAAGTTATTTTAATATCAGTATCGCTGTTCTGAGACATACAAACTTTATCTTAGTTTTTTTTTATTATTTTTATTTTATTTTTATTTTATTTATTTTTTTTGAGATAGTCGTGCTCTGTCGCCCAGGCTGGAGTGCAATGGCGCAATCTTGGCTCACTGCAACCTCCACCTCCCGGGTTCAAGCGATTCTCCTGCCTCCCACGTAGCTGGCACCACCACACCCAGCTAATTTTGTACTTTTAGTAGAGACGGGGTTTTACCGTGTTGGCCAGGATGGTCTCCATCTCTTGACCTCGTGATCTGCCCGCCTTGGCCTCCCAAAGTGCTGGAATTACAGGCATGAGCCACCGCACCTGCCCTGTCTTAGATTCTTTAGAGAGATTTGTAACAGTTCCTTAAAAAAGAATTGCACGGTTTCTTATTATTACCTAGAACTTTTGAAGTTATGAATTAACTTAATATGGGGGCTATATGGACTGAGACACCGATGGTTTCCTGTTTGTTGACTTACATCCTGCTGATAATTTTTTGTCTAAGGGCAAGAGTAAGTAAGAAGTAATATTTTTGAGCATCTACTTATGTCATCCTATTTATTCCTTGCCATCCTTTGAGGTACTTATTATCCACAGTTTTACAGGTAGAGAAAGCAGGCTCAGAACTGTGTAGTAATTTCCGAAAGTTCACAACTTTGCAGGGTGGCAGATGTGCTAAGCGCTGGTCTGCATACTGGGACACGGAGAAGCAGCAGTTGTTGAAGTCATGGTAACAGTGATGATAGCAGTAGCTACCAGGCACTGAGTCCTCCATGTGTGAGGACCCTTCCTATATGTCATGTGGTTTAATCCCTATGATAGCCCTGCAGGGGCCATGATCCTCATTTTACAGAACAGGAAGCAGCCTCGAAGAGGTTAATTATTTGTCCAGTCACACAGCTTTTCAGCAAAGAGCTGATATTCAACCCAACTCCATCTGATCCTAACTTTCTGCTCTAAAGTCAACTTGTTTGTCAGGATTAGCAATAGTTCCCTGATCACAAGAACAAAGTCTGAGGCATGGTAGATGTAATTTTTTTTTCTAATGTTGAATATACAGCTGCCTCCTGGCATTCCCATTGAGCCAAAATACAGAATGTTTATTTAATTTTTATTCCTTGTGAGCCTTGGTGGGGAGGAAAGGAACATCAGATATTTCTGCAAGCTTATAAATTGTTATAGGGTACTTTCTCTTCCATCTACCAACTGCCCTTGTTAAGACCCGCCCAAGAACCCAAACTTAGCTAAGAAAACATCTGAGCACATCCAGAATTAAGTATCACAAGTTGTTGAACCAACACCTTCACCATATCTACAGATGAATCCCTGACACTCACATGGAGCTGATTTACTCTGATTTGACTCATAATTCTAACGGTTTCTGTTTTCAGCTTAGTCTATACCAACAAAATAATAGTAGAGGGCCCACTGCAGATGGGTATAGTAATACCAGAGATGAGAAGAAAGAGACCCAAAAAATGATCAGAAGCAGAAATGAGAGCCCGGAAGTGCAGCTGACCAGAAGCATTTCAGTGTCAGATCAAATGCTGCCTCCTCTGTAGCCAGATCACAGCACATCTCATCAGTTACTGGTTTTCATCATGGTGACACTGAACATTCATGGAAAGTTGGCATTGAAATATGTTGGTATCTATAATTCAGGAAGGTAGTGATGATGGGTGCAGTGGTTTTAGGGGAAAAAAGCCAACAAATGCATTCGTGTTTGTCTACTCTTAAAACCCAGCTGTCCAAGAACAATTCCCCAAGGTTCCGTGCATCGTTTCTCTTTGTATCCTCGAAGTGCAGTGTCTGATACATAGAATGTGCTCACTGATGCCGGATGATGAAACGTTGAATGACTTGTTTCCTAGGGTTCTGGATAACTCTGTTTTACCGTGGATCCTGGATGTATTCCAGGATGACTTTATGAAGGCGAGAAGGGGTAAGACCCCTGAGAGCTCAGTGTTTATTCTGTTTTTACACATAGTTAGATGCGATAATACCCACCCTCCTTAAAAAAAAAAAAAAAAAATTCAATTTTTTGTTTTGCCAACTTTCCATGAATGTTCAGTGTCACCATGATGAAAACCATGGTAGTTACTCTTATCATTACCATCATCTTTGTCAGCACTGACCAAGGTTGCTCACTGGGGAAGATGTGAAAAAGAAGTTGGGATCTTCCTCTCCTGGGACACATTTGAAACCCAGTAGCTGGAAGCAGGCCGAAGCTGTGTAACCAGCTCTCATCCACATGGGCAAGGGTCCCAGGAGTTCTCTGTGGGCTTACGGGCTACCCAGCCCCTTGACAACCCCAGTTATTAAAGATTGAGCCCTGAATAAATCAGTGCGGCTCTCCATGAGAGACAGCTGCCTTTCAGAGAGTTCCGTGTAGCCGGAAGATAAGCACGCATGGAGCGTTCTGGGCAGCCAGAGGCTGGCCCGTGGGCTGCTCAGAGCACCTGGTCTGCCTTCCCAGCACAGGGCTGATTGTTTTACAGGTCACAGCCATTTTGAAAAGGCAGACTCACTGACCTGTTTAATGAGTGCAGTTTCTGCACGAAAGCCCATATCCCTCTCCCAGGCAGCCCCAGAACTTTGCTGGGGAAGGGGGCCAAATCTCCTCTCAATGCCTGAGGGATTTCTGGCCTTAACTGCTGGTGGAATTAGCGGGAGTTATCTATAAATCCCTGAGGCATCCATCAGCCGACTGAGCAAGGCTGCCTTTTTAAAGAAGTTCACTGACCTCTTGTTAACTTAACTCCTTGTTAGGAAATATCTAATCAGCTGTGAACTAACACGTCAGGGCCCAGGGGTCTGCAGAAGCCGGCTCACTGTGGGCCGGGTTTCCAGCTGTGTGCAGTCTGGTGTCTGAGCTGTTGTGTTTTCCTCTTTCAGCTATCTTTCAGATCATTCAGAGCATAAGGATGGGCATGTGAGAAGGCCAGGGATCTGACACCACCTCCCTCCCACTGGAGAGCGGAGGACCACGGAAGCGGTCAGCCAGTTTCTGCGGGAAGCAAGCAGGCCACACGGAATAGAAAAAATCGCTCCCCCACTTGTTCCCTGATCACTTCATCGTGGATGTCAGACCAAATTGCCTTCTCACAGGACATCTTGGTGCATCCGTGTTCTCAAGCGGAAAGGACATTTTGCTTTTCTGTTGGCAGGATTAGTGGCCACGCGGGTCGTCCGCAGCAGTGCTGTCTTTTTGGCTTTTCCCTTGGTTTCACTAATGCGTGCATGTGGCCCTCTGAACGATCACTGGTTTACTTTCTATGGATACAATCTCTCCCCCATTGAGAATTGGTTTTACAAATAAATGCCTTCGTTCAGCCTTATACCATGTGTGGGTTATAGTGAGAAAACGAAAGTGCAGGAAATAGCGGAATAGCTCAAGGAAGGTTGGGAGGTGAAGGGACTTGGTTATGCAGTTGGAGGAGGGGCAGGGAATCTGTGGGAGGGGAACCAGCGCTAGATTTACTCAGCAGGTCCCTGGCCAGACCCTCAAGATCTTTGCCTGAATGAAGCCCTGGGCAGTTCTAATGACCTTGCATTTTCTACACATTTGATTCTTCTTTTTTTTTTTTTCCCCAATATTTTTGTCTTATCTTGTTTGTTCTTCTCTTTTTCAGTTCAGAAAAGGCATGTGCAATGTATACGAAGGTCCGATTAGTCTTTATCTCCTCTGTAGTCTGCCTCAGAGCTTAGCACAGAGCAGACATCCCAGGCCTCTTGGTGAGAACCATCTAACCCCAGGGCCCAGCCTCAGCCACTCCAGAGCTCTGGGTAAATCAGGAGCCTTGCAGCCCTCTGGGGATCAGCTGGCAGAATAGGTGGGTGAGGCCCTCTCCCTGGCCAGCCTCCCCCACAGCTTCTCAAAGCATGGTGTTGCCAAAGGAAGTTACAGGGACAGCCACAGGATCACTGGTAGGATTAGAGGTGGTCACCCTGCAATATGAAGCATGCTTTTGTTTTTATAAATTTCCATCTTTGCATTAGCAATTTTTTTCATTCATTAACTTCATGAGAGCTTTAAAAAGGAAAGTGACAGACATGACCAGCGTCTCTCTAGACCACTTTACAGGTTTTGGTGTTAGTGGCACTGTTTGAATTAGGGGGCTTTTTGTTCATTGGAGTCTTTCACTTCAGACCCTTTAGTGATGTTCTTGAAGGCTTTCTTTTATCCCACCCTTTGAGCTCCCCTCCAAAAGCATCCCTTCCCCCTTCTTCCTTCTTTCTTTCCCACTAAGAAGAGAGAGTAGTCAGACTGCTCCAAAATCAGCAGCCCTGGGAACAGTCTACCACCCCGTGTTCCCTTGCCACTCCCACTCCCCAGCCCCCAACCCCTCGCAAAGTGGCAGAAGACATTTCCAGCCACTCAAGGGTGGCACACAATAGATGCCCTCCAAGCTTGTCCCCTCATCCTGTTGGCTCCGACTATCCTCTTCTAAGTCACCGAGTCAGACCAGTGTGTGGTAAGAGATCAGCCCTAAGGGATCCTGCTTGGGGCCCAGGAGCCCACACTGCTTGCAAAAGGAGGAAAAAGAAAGGCTCCTTGCCTTCAGGTGACTGGGTCTGTGCTCCCACATGTCTCTTTCCAACTCCCAGATTGCCTAGACTTCTCTTTCTCCCTTAATGCCCATAAAAGCACACCTCCCAAACCACCAATAGAGGCCATTACTGACCTGAGCTTTGTGGTTCATCCTTTATTGGACAGAATTTTTTCCCCTAATTTGGCCTTTCCCATAACAGCAATAGTCAAGAGGTGATTATCCCCATTTCAGGGAAAGGGAAACCGAATCCTGGCCAGAGTCCATTCCAGATAGATCCTGCTTGTCCCCAGGTGACAGGTGCAATGGGCTGGGTGTGGTGGGCTGTTGGCTGCCATCCATAAGACTGTCCAAGATTGATTTCTCTCCCCGGGCTCTGCAATCATCCACAAACTGGTTTTCTGTTAGTTTCCAGGTAGCCTCGCTGAAGTACTTGTATATGGCAGTCTACCCTCCCTGGTGACTTTTTCCGTCTGTCCTCTGCAAGCAGAGATGAGAGCTGTCTTAAGGAAGTTAGGGCCATTGTTGATTTATATTGTACTGCAGAGAGGACAGCAGTTTCCCTGTGAAACATAGTAAGAAATACACAGCAGCCCAATGCATAACGTACCCTCCAAAACAAGTTTTACAGAAAGAATTCCACTTATCCCTACCATACGTGATGCATTCTGATTTTTTTCTAGTCTATTTTTTGAATTAAAAATTAAAAATTTCTAGTCTATTTAATTTCTTGAATTAAAAATTCATTCAAAATGGTTGCATCCTCAACAATTGATTTTAGAACCCATGAAAAGATTTCAACCACAGTTGAAAAAACACTGCTCTTCAGAAGGAAATCAAGCCCTTGGCTGAGGACAGATCAGCAGGGTTCAGAAGGCAGTGAAGTCGGAACCCCACTTTTTATCCTGGTGAGAACTTAAAGTCCCATCTCAGTCACAGCCAATCAAGAGCTCCAGCAGCACAGGATAAGCGACTTCTTGCGGGATTTAAGGCACAATGGCAGACTCTGCAGGGAAAGCTGGGGGGCCAGGTGAGCCTGTGGATCCAGCACCACCTTGAATCCATAGAAAGACTGTGAAATTAATGTTCATTTATTTCATAAATAAATGTCCATGCTGGCAGGTTCAATTTGTCAGCATTCACTTACCGGGAGTCACAATCACTTTGGACGGGCGTGGGGAGTTCTTAAAAGTCGGAATCCACCCCAAGGCTGCTGAAAATCCAACTCTCACAGGAAGACATGCATAAGTTTTACGTAAGTGTTTTTTAAAAGATGTAGACAATTCTGATGCCGCCCATCCACCAATGAACATTTGGGAACCAATTCACCACCAGACTTAGTTTAATTAAACCAAAGCAGGGACCCAGAGACAATGTCACACACCTAACCCGCGGCGTTCAACCTGATCTCTGAGAGCGTCTTTCTCCTTTGATGTTCAGAAGCATCTGGGGGCTCCTGGGGGCTCAGTGGTGATGATACACTATGTTTGGTTTTGCTTCAGTTCTTGTGTGTGTCTGTGGCCCCAGACTGGAGCACAGGGTGCTTACTACTTGACTTGACTTTTGAGGTTCTCTAGAGGAGAAGAATCGTGCCTTATGGGAAGGCTAAGGTCTTTTTCTAGGTCCGCTGCCCCCGGGACATCATCACAGGTCAAACACTGTTTCTGGGAAGACCAGTGCCCCTTGAAGGTGCTCCCTGCTTCGGAAGTGCCTAAACACAAGAAACATGCCCTCAGACGTGGGGGCTGCACTTTGTTATAAGATAGTTCTCATCCTATCCAGACACAAGAACGTTCTAACAGAATATCCCTGCAGTTCTTCCACAATTGTTCCCCAGAGCTTTGGAGGCAAAATGTCATCTGGGTGATGTCCTTTATCCTACAGCCATCATCAGGCTTCAGCTGCAAGCTGTGAACATATATTAATCGCTCTTAGCAGCAGGTCCCTTTCTTTGAGAAATCTTCAGGTCCTGAGGCTTCCATCTGCCAGCCATGGGCCATGACTTTCTCCCCAGGGGTCAGCAAACTTTATCTGTAAAGGTCCAGTAAATATTTTAGGCTTTGCAGGCCATATGGTCTTGAGACTGTTCAATTCTGCTGTTGTAGCTTGAAAGCAGCCATTGACAATATGTAAATGAAGGAGCATGGCTGTTACCCAGTAAAACTCGATTTAAAATACAGGTGAGGCCAGGTGTGGTGGCTCAGGCCTGTAATCCCAGCACTTGGGGAGGCTGAGGCAGGTGGATCACCTGAGGTCAGGAGTTCGGGACTAGCCTGGCCAACATGGAGAAACACTATCTCTACTAAAAATACGAAAATTAAGCTGGGCACAGCTGTGGGCACCTGTAATCCCAGTACTTTAGAAGGCTGAGGTGGGTGGATCACCTGAGGTCAGGAGTGCGAGACCAGCCTGGCCAACATGGTGAGACCCCATCTCTAATAAAAATACAAAATTAGCTGGGCGTGGTGGCACATGCCAGTAATCCTAGCTACTCAGGAGGCAAGGCTGGAGAATCACTTGAACCCAGGAGGCAGAGGTTGCAGTGAGCTGAGATTGTACCATTGCACCCCAGCCTGGGCAACAAGAGTGAAACTCCATCTCAAAAAAAAACAAACAAAAAAATTAGCTGGGCTTGGTGGCACATGCCTGAAATCCCAGCTACTGGGGAGGCTGAAGTGGGAGGATCGCTTAAACCGGGGAGTTTGAGGTTGCAGTGAGCTATGGTAGTGCCACTGCACTCCAGCCTGGGTAACAGAGCAAGACTCTGTCTAAAAAAATAAAAATAAAAAATTAAAAAATTAAAAATAAATTTAAAAAAATCCCCAGGTATAATCCAGATCTAGTAAATCAGAAACTCTGGGGGTGGGGCCAATAGTGTGGGTTTTAGAAGCCTTCCAGGTGATTCTTCTGCAAGCTCAAATTGGAGAACCCTGCTCTCAGTCTGGTGCCAAACCTGTCTGCCCCAGAGTTTTTGGTGGTAAGCCATACCTCTGGACAGTCCTCTTCCCCTTCTTCCCTCACAAATTTCACTACAGCCTTAGTACTTAATTAACTCTTACGTATCTAGAGATCTGCTCTCTGCTTGCTTCATGTTTCTATATTTGTCTCCCAGTTAGATTGAAACCCCTTGAAGGTAGAGTCTGTGTGTGACTCCTTCCATCTCTACCCGGCTACTGATCCATTTTAAGCATTTAATAAAGGCAAGGAAGGCCTTCACCTTTATTAACTTTTTTGAAAAATCTGTGCTTAACTATTTTCAGAATTTTAAGCCCACAATTCACTTTCAAAAATATACATTAGGTGCCTACTCTGTGCCAGGCCCTGTTTTACGGCACAAGTCCTGGCCTTCATGGAACTTACATTCCAGTCAGGGAAACATAATAAGCACATAAATTATCAGTAAATACTATGAACAAAAATAAAGCAAGGTAATACAATGGTGACTGGCAGGGTGACAGATTTTAAACAGCCTGGTCAGAGCAAGGCCAAGAAAAGAGCACTGCATTTGCAGGACCTGACAGAGAATATGCAGGCCTTTTATGTTCTCCTCTTTATAGATCAAGCCTAGCAGTACTCGTTTCAGTATTAGGCAGGATGGAATGCCCTGTGCTGCAGGAACAACAACAAAAGCTCAGTGGTTTTGCACATAAACGTTCACTTCTGGCCAGGCGCGGTGGCTCAACCCTGTAATCCCAGCACTTTGGGAGGCCGAGATGGGCGGATCACAAGCTCAGGAGATTGAGACCATCCTGGCTAACACAGTGAAACCCCGTCTCTACAAAAAAAAA